CTTCAGCGGTGTCAGGTTGGCCTGTCAGCGAAACCAATGATTCATACATTTCCCTCTGACCGAGACAGAGTCACAACTCTCAGTAAATTACATTTCATCCACGGATTATGGAATTATCTTCATCTACATTATCCTCGTGGATGGGAATAGTGACTAGATGATCCGTAAAAAAACAATGTGATTCAAACACTACGACGAAGTTTAAGCTGTGATATGGAAGATAAGTCTTGTTAAGATAGCAAGCTGGATGTTAGCTTATACTTGGTAAATAGAATGTATATATTATTTTTTTAACTTAAAATCATATATTAGTCATGGTTCTTCGCACATGCTGAAACTTTTTTTCTGTTTTTTAAATCCAAACAGAAGTATACCTGTTATAAAATCATATCATACTTATAACATGATATAGTATGTTATATGTGTCTAGCGGAATCCTTCGTTTGATCAGCCCTGATGAAGGCCTGAATTTTGGGCCGAAACGTCAGAAAAAATAAAAATACATATACTTATTTATTTTTACTATTTTTTTATTGATCGCCCCAACCAATTATTCACTACAGTCAACTATCAGTCCACAAGAATAATTTATTACATTCATGGAACCTAAATCTACGCGTAAATACATCAATTTATCAGGTAATATTGCTGCCCTATTATTATTTGGCCTATCACTGTCCAACCATACTGAAAAAATCATCCGGAAATGAAAAATTATAAAAGATAGGGCGACATCAAGAGAAAGATTCAAGATTTGAATGCTCTATAAGGAAATAAAATAACATTTAACGATTCCAAAACTGAGAGGAACAATAAATTTTGGGATTTCAAAAAAAAAAAAAATTATAAATTGCTTCTCCACTCAGTAGTAATTAAACGTCTCATTAATAATTGCTATAAATTGTGAATGGGGAGTGGGGTAGCTCAGTAGTAGATAAATATCCCAGGGTTGAATCCCCGCTCATAGCAGAAATATTATTTATTCTGTTTCATTGGCCGTGAGGCGACCCTGGGCAGATAAATCCTCCTGGGCCACACCCAGCCTCTATAAAGTGGATACCCTTAATTAAAATAATTAATTAAGGTGGAAAACCTGGCGGTTGAGCGTGATCTCGGTCAAATCACCTCCTTGCACAACCACAGACCAAGAAACAGTGCTTTCCCTAAATAGTACTGAACCCAAAACCCTTCATGGGTTGTAGTGGTACAAGGTTTTTTTTTTATTTTTATAAATTGTTAATAATGATTAATTCAAATCAATTTTAAAAAATAAATAAAAACAACCTGTACTATAATATCTAACGAAAATTATGATTAATTTAGAACAAGCGTTTTTCCCATTATAATATCTGAAATTCAATTAAAATATATTATTTTATGTTTTAACAAATGTTTATTTTCTTCATGTTTAAACTAGCAATAAACATGTTTTTGCTTTATATTCTTTGCTATATTATATGCTTTATATTCAGTGACATTTAACGAAGTAAAAGGAAAGTATAATGTTATAAAGTGTTTTTAAATATACATTTGAATTTCAAACGCAAGATGTTTTATGGAGATGTGAAACACAGAAGTAAAGGAAATATTAATATCCGGGAAGAGTGTAATGAAACAAGAAGTAAATACAAGTTAAACAATTAAATTATCAATAAAATAAAATATATTAATAATTCAAAATTAAAAAAAAAAAATTCTTCAGTTTTTTTTAACAATCGTGGACATGGATAATCTAAGTTTTATTTTCATCCATTTAAAACTTTAATTTATGAGCCTTAAAGATTAGAATTGCTATAAAGGATAAACCTGCTATAAAATTTTATAGGTCTAGGGGCTTTAGAAGCTATTAAAGCCTTAATTGCTTCAAGAAACTCTGGTGCTGTTTATTTTATAAGCTCCTGTAATTATATTCATAGGATTCAGATAATAATTAAATTATTTGTTATTTTATTGATATTTATATGCATATATTTACTAACTTGTACTTAACAAAAATTTCAGTTCAATTTATGAATTTAAGAATATGTGAATAAAATCAATATATGAATTGGCTTATTCCAAAAAAGTTAATCTTTGATAAATCCAACACTTTACGAAAAGTACGATGAAGGAAAATACATAATAATAATTCGTATTACTTTATGTGCAATCGGGCTAGATCATTAACTGACAATTAAGTGACATTTATAAATTTTTTTTCTCAAAAAATCAGTCTAATTATAACAACAAAATTACTTAGTAAAAAATAAAAGCTTACTTTATTATTTTTGTGCCCTTCAGTGTGCAGACTGTATTAATACTCAATAAAATAAAATAAAAATAGATAAATAAAAATTTTCTTTATTTGAAACAGTCAGTGTCAAGCATATTCAATTATTTAAACGTGTGGAAACAATACACTCAGTAATTAATTACTTATTTATCTTGAAAACGATGTACAACTTTTGCTTCAACAGCATTGGGTGTATGTATTGATTTACGATTAAGGTGATTTTAGTGATCTAGTCAGCCAAATTTAGTAGAAGAAATGAGTATACATACAGTGTTGTAAGTCATTCAATAATGATTCCATTGTTGTTAACATTCTATGAATGTCAGGTATGTTGGTTTAATTGAATCAGTAAATAACATGACGATGATTTTACTTAATTTTCAAACATTTTTACTTGCAAAGCACCATTAACAAAACAAAATAAAGAATATTTCGTACTTGTCTCAAATCTTTCTTAGTTTTGAATTTGTATTTCATTTTAACTCATTTCATAATATGTTTTTTATCGAACTATTAACTTCTGCCTGAAACTTTGTAAATAGGTTCATCTCATCGTAACCTAAAACTATTTTATTTACGAAAACCCTTGGAATTGAGGCGTTTTCAATCTGGTGGTGGGCAAACTTTGTCTATTTAATCAGATACTAAAACTTCGTATGCTCATTTGCTTTCACTTGGATCGCAAGATACTTTGATCACAAAATCAACAAAAAATGTAGCCTTCAAGAATACTGAGCCGTTTGGAGTGACCTACACCCCCAACATTTAAAAATAACGAGATAATATAGGGCAAATGGCCCAATATTTTCGTAGGCCACCTTTTTATCTATTTTGTGATCAAATTATCTTACGATCCTAATTCAACAGACAAAGTTTGCCCCCCTCCAGATTGAAAACGCCCCAATTCCAAGAATTTTCGTAAATAAAATAGTTGTAGGTTACGATGAGATGAAACTATTTACGAATTGTCAGGCAGACGTTAATAATTCGATAAAAAGATGTCTGGAGCACGGACTATTTAGTTTATTTATTTATTTCTTAAGTTTACTCAAATTTTCAAATACATACATTACAAAATATATATAATATACTGTTAAAAAAAAAACACGTTTTTGCTATTATATGTAATTTTTTAGTTTGTTCTCGTATGGATCAAATTTTATTTTTTGTATTCCTATCTATTTTTTTGGAGAATATCTATACTTAAGGTTTATACTAACATTAGAATCCTTCAAATCTTAGAGGGTCTAAGCCAACGGATAATGAATCATAAAACAATAGGATCAATAATTATGATTTTTTTTTCTGTAATTCAAATTATTTCAATTATACAACCCATCTTCTTTTTTGGTGGTATTTTCATGTCAACAATTGGTGATCGGTATGCTATTCTACAGTAAGCAGAGTTTATTGAGCTCTGGAATGGCTTTGCTAGATGGAGATTAGAATTCAATTTCCCTTCTCGAATACATGATTTTATACTACCTACTGTTTGATTGGACCTGTAGATTGGAAAAAAAATCTTTGATGGACAAGTTATCATAAAATCATTTGACTGATAAAATGTTTTTATTTTTTAGTATCTTCCAGGGTTAGGTATTTGTTTTATTTTAGTTTATATTGTAATGAAAATATTTCGAATTAATGTAAGAAAGAATTACGGTGGAAAAATTTATTAAATTGAAATTATTTTTATTAGTTCACCATTTTATTTTACCACTACTTGGTACTTTAAATTTTATTTTATTTTTTCGTGCTTCTAGAATCTAAATCATAACAGCCATTTGGACATTTATTATGATTTTCCACCTAAAGCGAAAATAAATTTAACATTACCAGATACATACCATAAATAAAATATTTGTTTTTGTTTATTCGAAATAAATAATTGTATCTATGTACATTTTTGATATTTGCTGAATTTTAAAAAACGTTTTTATGAATTTCGACCTACACTTTTATATATCTGTATAAAACGCAGTAAGTGCATAAAAAAGGGACAAACCCTTTTATATATCAAATATAGTTGAAAAAAAGTAAACAATTATTTTATTTTACAAAGGGAAAACTCATCAGAACTTATTAATTTGAAGTTGTGAAATGTCATTTAATTACTTTATATATAAACCGTCCATACAAGAAAGATAACAGTACTAATAATTACAGTTATTTCAATATACGTTGTTGTTTTTTAAATTAAAAATTATATGTACTATGAAATAGCAGTGACTTATACTACTTGTGTGTTTTAATGGAGATTCACAAAAATATTACATGTTTATATCGTAAGTAGTGTTTAAAAACTAAGCTAGTATGTATAATGAAGTTTAATTTAATTAACTATCATCTTTGTATGTTTTTGTATGCTATATTAACTTTATTTTCTAAAATAATGCTTCCAAGCTTTATATTATACGTGATAAAGCTTGCCGTTCGATATTCCATGTACCAAGCTCGAACCCATTTTGATGTATCAAACAATAAAACCAGAAGGGACACAGCAGTGAATACCAATGGAATACTGCCACAAACCCGTGGGTTTTGTATTCAATCCCAAGGATTATTTAAAATGGAATAACGATAACCCTCCGTCAAAGTAGTTGTCATTCAATGAAAATCCATTTCCCTGTTTATTCTTAGGTAAAAGGGGAGGGATCAGAATTTCCAATTTTCTTGTCTCTTTCCCCGTCCCCTTCTTCTTGTACATTATATCATCTGGGATTGCATTATGTGTAGCATCCCCCTTGGACCGCTCTTGGTCGTCTTGTTCTTTTCCCGTCGTAAGGGGGTATGCAGATTAATACATAATGATTTCCCGTCTCGTCCGACCTGCCCGGGGGCGCTCATCATATGTATACATGACGGAAGTCTGTGGAAGGCATCCCCTGCAGATTCTGATTAAAGAGCTTAGGTTAGGGGACTAGGAGTTGTGTATGACGTGAAGTTCATAGGAAGCAGAATATCATAATATTCACCTATATTCCAGAAAACTTAACTTAACCTGTTTTGTATATTGAGAGAAATGCTTTATTTAAAGTTGTGCTGCCCTATGACAGGGAATTGCTTAATATACGTATGAATTCCTTTTGGGACATCCCAAATAACACTAGCATTAACTCATAGATATTTTTTCTTCCTCTTTCTTATCTATAATCATATTGTAGATAGTTTACTATATTAAACTAGATTGGCTCTGTCATGTAATACATGTTTGGATGAGACTATATAATCTCAGAAATTTACCGCAAAAAAAATTTTAAATGCAACAATTACACGATTAAGCGCACACATAACAATCAATACAGAATTAAGAAGATGGAAAGATATGAATAGATAACTATCTGAGAATTAAATAAAAAAAATAATAATAATAAAGTTGAAAAAGTAAATAAATAATAATAATAATTATACGTATATGATGATATTCTAAAATATAAAATTCGTTTCGATGAGTAATATTTTATAAATCAATCTTAATTTTTTTTCTAATCTAAAAGGTATAAATATAACTGAACGTACCACAGTAGTCAAATATAAAACTAAATATTTTATTTATTTAGAAAAATAGGTACTAGGACCAGAACTGAATAAAACATTTTTTATTTGAGAGGAATACTTTAGTGATTATGACTATTGTTTCTTTTTAGCCCAGATTGGAGTCGAACCCAAAATACCCATGTCTCTCGCCCCTCTCTCAACATAATAAACGATAAGATAAATTAATCAATTAATTGATTAATTATATCCACTTTATAGACTAGTTGTGTCCTAAGATGATCTATAGAGTTGATCCATAGGTGACGATTTCTAGTAAATTACGTGATTTTCTTCTGTTTATTTCTGTTGACAATAACCTTTATGTATTTATCCGAATTTTTTTTATATACTTACTTAATTTACTTTAATTTTTTTTCCTACCCTTGCATATCATTTGTCTATTTCAATTTTTTTTTTTTTTTTAATATCTGTACTAATGTAAGCATCTCTTTGTCTCTTGCCAGTTTTATTTATCCGAACTCATATTTTATTTTATTCTTATATTTTTTCAACTTCCTTTTTAGCTAACTTTTTTTTATTATTTCTTGCCCTTGTTATTATTATAATATGACAATTATTCTCGATACCAATATTGTACTTAAAATATATATTCTAACCTAAATTTAATAACTAATTTTAATTGAATTATTTATTATTTATTTATTATTATAAATTATAATTTATTTAATTTAATTGAATAACTCGAGCACAAAAGAAAATTTAGTAAATAATTCAAATAGAATTTCTTTGAGCATTGATATAATAAAAGAAGAGCAATAACTCTGTAATATTCGATATGCCCGGAGTTGCCTTTGTAAAAGTTAAAATTGATAGTCACAACGAAATATTCAGCTTCAATTGGACCTCCGCAGTAGAATTTCATTACTGGATGAAACCGTACTGAAACCAGAACATAATAGGAAATTCAAAACCAAACAGTACCGTCTCTACAGGAAACTGGGCAATTAATTCTCTTCATGTAGAGGTACGATCCTATAGACCTTTGCTATATCTACATCCAATTATATATTATTACTTTACTGGATATACTGCTTTGTAACGTGATACGAGTATTATAACAGCATTATATATATATGTATATGTGCCTTTAAATCTTAATTATCAAAAATGTATCTACATCGTATATCATACAGTTGTATTATCTCTTTTCCGGCTTTCAGAAGCGATGGATTTCGGTGAATGATGTATTAAACGAAAGAGAATTTCATGGAGAAATAACGATACCCTATCTAGTTACTTGAATGACAGCAATTTAAAAAAAATATATTTGAAAAAATTTGGATGTTTCAAAACTCAGACGGTTCCAAAATTTCATTTGGAGCTATTTATTTTAATTACCAAAACGTACCTTTTTCAAGATAAATCATGATTTTTAATGGAAGCCTCTTTTGTCCTAGTTTGCCGTTGGATCTTAACTAATGTTTAGGTTTTAAACATTAAAATATTTCTAGCCTCCTACAAAATAAAATTTCATTAAAAAGTAAATGAACGGCCATAGTACTATGGTCCTTTGGAAAGGAGAATTCCAAAACATTGAACCTTGTCACGAAAAAAATAAAGGCCTAGGAGAAAAAAAAAAAGCCCCTCGGATAATATATGAAGAACTTTTTTGATATTTTTAATAGATTAAAAAAATATTCAGATATGTCTTCTTCACTTTTATTAATAAGAAAAAAATATGAATTAATTGGTCCAGTGGATTTTGAAAAAAATCTTTCTTAGGTTAATATTATATATAATAAAAGATAGATTTTTCTTCTCCTTAACATAAAACCTATTAGGCGAAATTCAGTATTTTATTTTTTTTTAAATATATATCAACTCCTTCTATAAATCTCAGTATTATTCTAATCGTGCCGTAAGTGCTATTACATCTCTTATAATTTGGATGACCTGAACCTTATTATCAACATAATATTTATACCTGAAGAGAAGGTTGGTTGTGGTTTTCAGTCCGAAAAATGTAATCCAAGTATTATCCTCATTTTCCTTTTTCCCGTTACTTTGTTTTCCATATCTCCACCTCTATTTTGTGTATCTTGATACATTTGCTCACTGCATCTTATTTTTATTTTTTTTTTAATTCTCTTACACAAAGCTAGTATGTTTAGATAGATTTTACAGTATCTTAATTCTTCTATTTACATCTTTTATTTTATTTGTACAACTTCATATAACTCTGTTTTACATTTCATTCAAAGATTATCTCACTTCCTTCTAGCATACTAAGAGATCATATGTTAGCAACTATGCCATCCCATTTATTTTATTACTACACTTACGTTTTTCATCTCAGACATCCATTACGTTTTGTTGTTAATTCATTTTTCATTTCTTTTGCTACCTTATTTCATTAGTCCCTAACTTAGTTGCCGTTATTATTTATTTCCTAGTTCTCTGTTACTGCTATTATTTTATTCATAATTTCATAAATTTGTTACCGTTATGTTATGTATCCTAACTTTGTTACTGTTCCACCACCAACATTGGAATGGAAACTGCATATGGGCAAAAGAAAATCTTTATTGCACCTAGAGTCATGGTCATTGCATCCTCAAGGTTTCTTGTTAATCCTTAAAAGTTAACAGACGATCTAGACTTCTGAAGATTTATATTCCAAGCAATTGATATCAGGAAATGCGTAGTGGTTAGCAGAGTGACTATAAAATGTCCAATCGTCAATAACCCTTTAATGATAATAACGAATAGAAAATTGATTTATGACTGGAGGAGTCTCTTTTGCAAAGAACCTTTGCATCATGTTTTCTTGGCAGCTAATCAATCGCAGAAGGTACTTCAATTTTTTTTCTCCTGTTTGCGGTTCGGCGACTGTTTGTTATTTCTCAAAGTGAGGAGCTGCCTGTGACAGGCTCTCATATTTCGATCATGGGACTGGAGTGGTCCGATCCTCCATTGGGTTGAGTTCTTGCTGTCTGCGATCCAACCCCTCCGCCAGCGTAAGTAGCACTATTCTTCTCTGCCACTTAGGATATGGTTCGGTATTATAGGCTGTCAAAGTACCATGATTCCTGCAGGTGAATTTCCTGCAACGCTACTTTAAATCTGTATCTGACACCAACACAACATGATGGTTATGAACTTTGATGCACAATGCTACTTAAATCTAAATATCAATCTTTAATCTTGAATATTGTTTTATATAAGTCTTAAAAAACTATTGTTGAAACTCAGTTTAATAATCTCCGAGCAGTTTAAGCACAGTACTAGTGACAAGAAGGAGAACTACTAGAAACCACGGATTTCGCGCTTCTTTAAAGTTTTATAAGCTTACTCAGCTTCCAATGCTAAAGGCCCCAGGTTCGAATCCATTCTGTATCATTAGCCGTGAGCGACCCTGGGTAAGTAGACCCGCCTGGGGCATACCCAGCCTCTATAAAGTGGGTACTCTTAATTAAAATAATTAATCTAGAGGAAAAACCTGGTGGTTGAGCGTGAACTCGGTCAAATCACTTCCTTGTACAACCGTAGACCAAGAAACAGTGCTTTCCCTAAATAGTACTGAACCCAAGACCCTTCATCGGTTGTATTTGTACAGGTACAATGAAACAATTTAATCACTTTTCTAATATTATCATCTTTTTCTAAACAAAGATAATAATCTAGTAAGCATTACTAAAAAGAGATCGTTTCAGAGGAAAGCATGTTGGAAGTACCGGACTCGATTTCATTCAGTACCTGGGGGATCGGAATACCCCAATTTTCTAGATAGCTAAGTTAAAATTCTTCCTACTCTCCATTGTCTCACACGAACCCCCTAAATTTGGATTAAACATAACAGTCGGGTGCACTTCAAGTATCATTTATAATGGTTTAATAAAGTAAAATAAATAAATCTAATCTTTGAATTTTTCCAAAGATAAGTACTGGACCTCAGTGACAAAGCTTTTGTTTTTTCAATTTATATAATGTTAGAAAATGTATAAATGGCGTTTCCTAATGGATATAAATTTATTGAACATTTCTCCGAAAATCGGCCTACACATCCCTTATTAACGGCCTTCCCCTTTTATAAGAACATAAATTACCCTTAGGCCGGACTACATGAGAAGGCATTATACCACAAAAGGCTATCTTCTGACAATTAATTAGAGGACAGGTCTGCGGGCCTTGCGACAAAGGCCCTCCTCCGGGGGTTAATGAAGAAAATCCCCTGGTCTAGGGGTTTGGGGGGGAGGAGGGGATGAGGCCCCCTCTGCGGTTGGGCATCTGCTCCTAGTCGCGGTTGACCCCAATCTGTCATAGTTATCTTAAAATATAAATCCAAGAGCATAATCCCCAAGCTACTTTAGTAGAATAAGAGATCATTATATTTTTTTTCTACACTTTACCATTATGCGTAAGGCCCATAATAGTGCGGACCATTTTTCATATATAACAGATCTTAGTATAGAGAAAGGAGATGGCGGCGGTCATAAAAAGACTAAAATATTACAGAAAAAAAAAATGTATTTCAAGCTAAAGTTTCAACCCGACTTTTCAGATCTTCTTCAGGGCTAGAACGAACAAGGTACAAAATTATATAGAAAAATCTGGTGCGCGCGGCACACAACTTTCACTTACCCCTCTACTTTAAATAGAAATTATTTTCTGGAAATTTTGGGCTATTATAACATTTTTGAAGTGCATTTTAAACGGTGCTAAAGCTTAAAGCTTGCAGATAACAAATCATTCAGACCATTAAAATTACAAAAAGTCTATTTATTAATCTACGAGTCTAATAAAAATCTAGTTTTATAAACCACATAACTTTAGTTGTCTTTGACTCCAATTTCAACATTTTTAAATAATGAAATTTTAGTGATATTTCTTGTTGGAAAAGTTATAAAATATACAACGGTCGACCATGAAGTATTCAAGATATTAGTATAGTTTCGTCTTCATAGCAAATCACTCATCCAGCAGAACAACATTTTTTTGACAATTACGAATATTTGATATACATGTTTTTTTTCACATTTCATTGTCAGGAAGACTTTTTTAATCTATACGATATTAATACGATACGATCATATTTATATAACAATATTTATGATTATAGTTATAGTTAATTATATTATAGTTGTGCAACAATTAATTAAAGAAAAGTGTATTAATATAAACGAGTATAACACTCACCTAGAAATAGAAAATACATGTTAGGTTTTAATTGGTAAAACCACACCACAGCCTTGTGTCTCTAAAATTAAAGGGAAAAAACTTAGGTGTGTGCTTTAGACCACACGATACGAAGAACTTCAACGAGACGAAATTAACAATGTGAAATATAAATTATAAATAATACCTTATTATATAGAGGATGAATTGTTGAACAATATCCTCGCTTATAGTATGTAGGTCCGATTTATAGTTTTTGAGATATTTTAATCCATATCTTCAATAAAACTCGTTATCATTTGGAGTTCGACACTATTTCTCTCTAGTAAGGCGCTGCATTAAGATACAATTTTGAATAACAGCTCTTTACAAAGAAGATGAAATGATGAACATTTCACTCGCTAACAATTTGCTGGTCCGATTTATAGTTTTTGAGATATTTTAATCCACGTTCAAGAACACTTTAATTAGTCGACTCCAGCCGACTTTGCCCGAACGTTACACATCGGAGATCTGACGGCTCTATCTAATTCACTCTCTTCTAGAGACAGTGAGCCATGTTTCTGCATTAAGGTTCTCTTCTGTCCGTTTCCACTCTTTGTGTTATCATACTCTGCTTGTAATGTTTTCTTGGTGTGGTGTCTTCAGTATTTTAAGATAACGTCTTTTAATCTAATCATTCATGTTTCTTCTCAATTTCTAGCTAAATAGGTGTTGTATATAAATATAGAATGTATGCCATTAAATGCTTATAACAATATAAGTAATAATAATTCTATATAATGTGTTAGTTATTTTCTGCTGGTGTAGCTATAATATTTTAAATCAAAAGGTGCAAGGAAGTATTGCTCTTTTTTGTTTTTCGTGCTTGTTCGTGCTTCTCTTCTCGGTTTTCTCCATTTTTCATGTATAATAACTAATCCTAAATGTATAAATAACGATAGTAAAATATATATTTTGTATATTTAAATACAGAACAAGAATTTTACATAGATTATTTATCCGAAATTGATCGATGTTGCAGTTTTGGTAAGCGGGAATCTCACAGAAGGCTTGGAGCAATACTTTGGGATACCTGACGAAAACGAAGTAGAACGGAGGCCAGCAACTGGTGGTGAGATCACTCATGCCAGGAAAGAAGTGACGCCAGGTAAGCATACATTGTCGTATTTTTTATTATTTATTTATTTATTATTTATTAAATTATTTGTCAATATAAACTTAAATAGTTAGAAATCATAAGGAAACATCACTTACTCTTGGCCGTGGTGGCTGAGTGTGTTAAGGCGTTAGCTTATTTCAATTCAAGCTGCTCCGGTTCGATTCCAGCATGGTCGGGTTAAAATTTCTTTCATTGCTTAGTCACGTAATGAATCTCTATATAAAATCGGTCAGAGATAGTTCATAGTTCATGAAAATAAATTTTACTCATTTAAAAATTTTCGGTTTGTAGTGTATGAGAAGGCAGCAGGGTTCATAGTTATAAATCCTCCGTTGGACATTTAGAATCTCTAGGGTCCCATTCTTCTATTTATCATTTTAAAATAATAAAAATTCAGCTAAGCAGATATAATCTTGATTTTAAAAAAACACCTTTTTGCACTAGCGATGGACATCCCAAAATTCAATCAATCTAATAATGGACAGGGGGTTGGTACCAGTAATGGACATACCTCAGAAATTTTTTAAATTTTTATGTAAATATAACGATAATGATAAAGATAAGATAACCTAAATGTTCAAGTTACTCTTAGAAAAACTGTTACTAAGTAGGAAGGTGTGAAACACACAATTTTTCAATTTTCTTTTGGGAACTTTGTTCATACAGTTGTCAATAGAGGGCATAATTCTTCAATCTAGGAAAAGCTGAAACCTTTAAATCAACAAGGTTATTATTTACATTTAAAGTCTAACCTGTCCATAAGTGGGGCATTCACCCTATTTCGGTATTACTCGTCCCAAAACCGACTAAACTTCTAGACCGACTAAAAAATCAAATAATTAAAAAATAACTTTTTCTGATCTAAAGTCGTTAAGAAAAAAAATATGTCTGATAAATAGAAATTCTTGCATTAATTTAATAAATGTAATGATTTCTGAATCAGCAAGTTTTGTATCTTGGGGAAAGTATTAAAAGTGTAAATATGAAAAATCATCGAATAATTAGTACCCGATGCGTTATTTGATATTCCAACATCTGCTCGAATAAAGCCAAACGTATTACTAACCTTTAATAAATATTTTTTAATATTTATAATAAACACGTAAGGCCATACCTTTTTGAGAGTATAGTGCAGGCAATCAACATAAACATGTCGCTTATTATATTTGAATGCAATGGAATAAACAATATTATTAATACTTAATAACAATATTAACAATAATTAATCTAACAATAAGCTATAAAATTCGTTTAAAGGAAGAACAATAAAGCAGATTACAGGATGTTGTACCCTCTTCCTCAAAGGGGTGTCTGATAAATACCGTTGATAAAAGAAGGTACATTGGTAAAGATATATGGAAACAGTTAATTATTATTATTTTTTTTATCAGGGAAGAATTTCTGGAAATAACTATTATGGGAGAACTCTGTTGTTATTTTTTTTTCTATTTACATTGGTTATTGTTAATAATACACACGAATTACGAATCATAAAAGAAATAACTTAAGAATATAATTCAGGATCCGTAAAACTCTATTATAAAAACAAGAGTTAATATTAGTAGAAAAATATTATTGTAATGTTTTGATTTCAAAATACAACGAATTACTTTATATTTCTAATCGATTGGAAATATTTTATAAATCGATTTACTGAAAACTCTTGGCGAAGTTCAGCAAGCACCTACTGATAGTGCGTAACAACAGTTGCTGAGCGCCATAATGTTTATGAGTAAAGGATTTGATACTCCTAGTAAGGTTTAGGGGGAAAAATTATTAAGTTTATTTAAATTCATCATTCATTACTATAAATAAGTATATAGCTCATAATGATACATAAGTAAGTAGGATATAATGGTAATATTTTAAATAACAATATTTATATTTATTTAGTTTGTGTCTCTTTTTGAGCAAGATGCTCATTTGTAATACAATTATTTTTGGAGTAGCCATGGATCTACTGGGTTTTATTGAGTATGGATGTTATATTTTAGTACATTTTCTTATGTGTTTGTTAATTTAGATTATTTTATTTTTGAGTTCTTTGCGATGTATATATTGTTTCTCTAATTTTTTTTTTTATTTGATATCTTCCTATTCACCATTTCTGGCATACGAGGGAATTGTTCTAGAGGTACAACCAAACCTATTTTAATCAGAGTGGGAGGGTCGAGTTTCATTCCGTGGATCTGCCACGAAATTAAAGTCAACCTCCCTCCTAGGCGTCGCTAGGCATGAGAATACTAAAACAGGCCTCTACGACCTCTATCCTTCATCTACTGTCTTTATGTAACCTTCTATATCCATCACTATATATGTGGATGGTTTGGTGAGATGTCTCTAGTAAATTTATTTTTCTTTCTTTCCTTTTTTTCTTTTTGCACATATGCTATCTTATTTTTTTCTGTCCTGATGATCCTTGGATTGGCGAAACTTTGGCTAGCTAATTGTTCACCTGTATATTAGAGATTCAAGACTTCATGGTTTGGAATATTCCATTTATACCTTATTGCGGATGTTTATTTCATTATGTTTTGTTAACCTCGTCCGGTGGTTGATGTAATGTATTAGCAGGCTTTGGGATCAAAAGCTTGGCATAGGGGCGGAACTTGGTCCGCTGGTACCAGCATCTTCTCTGCTCCTTTTGTCAAATTTGTCTTTTTGACCCGACGAGACCTAGTTCTATCGATCCACCTGATATCTTCTCTTCGTCGCCATTACGCGAATAATGAGTCCCCAATTGTCCTCTCATTTTGAAGATCTCATCTCCACAACGATTGCCTGAGAACGTCCCATTCAAACTAGTTCGTTGCGGTCCTTGATTAGTATATTCAAGTCATTTGCATTCATTTCCCGAAACCGTTTATTTAATTTTAATTGCTAATACCATGGCCGCCAGCAATTACCTGCTGCACCAATGACGACATAGAATGAGAATAGATTGTATTTTTAATTTCCTGGAATATTGGAGTGAATAATTGATGAGGTTCATTCTGTGATTCGCAATTAAAGTTCAGCACTCGAATTTTGTATAGCTGTTGATTAGAATTCGTTAATGCCTTTTTCTATCCATTACTTGATATTACTGAAAACTCAAAAAGAACAGTCATAGTTCATTTATTTTTCGATCATATACTTGAAAGAGACTGCAAGAGAGATCTTGAAGTACTCATAACTAGTTTTATAGAGGTGTTGAATAATTACTGAATTACTAATAAACTGTGATTATTATTCCGAAATAAAAGATGACAGCGTGATTAAAGTAAAAAATGTTTGATGTATCAATCAATTGGTTTAATGTGGTTGACCTGAAATTTAATTTTTAAATAATTAATAGTAGAAATAACAATATAACGATATTCAACCTCCCAACCACACTTACATAGTGACTATAATCTAATTATGTAGTATATATAAGGAACATTAATAAATCAAGTAAGAATATAAAAATTCGCCAAGAACTGGTGTCTAGTTGATCTTGCCTTTATATATGCAATTTTATTTATAGAATATTCTTATTCAACCTTTGTTGTGCTTAAATTGATTTGTAAATTGACATATTGACTCAACCCAATTAAGGTTATAACTTATGTCGATTTTTATGTATAATGTTGATTTTTAAAAGATGACTAACATCACTATCATAGCAAGTTAAATGGAATTTTGTATGAAATTAATTGTGAATTGGTTCTTACAGATGGCTTGAAAATAGCATCAGACCTGAAATGTCAAATTGAAGCCTTATTATTCTTAATTTATTCATTTATAATGTAAAACAATTAAAAAAAAGAAAAAAAAAGTAGAGTTTTTATTCATCGTAGATTAGTTTTTATTTATTTATTTTAATAGTTTTTATTCATCCGATTTAGAATGATATTCGCAAAATATATAAATCTGTATATCATCAATTTATGCCGAACGACTAGAACCCTAGGAAATACTGTACTGTTCTAAGTGATTAATTGTGGAAATCCAGATTGAATTTAATCTTGTCCTATAATGGATCCAGTGGTGGGTGGGCTAGACGCTATATCAGATTAGTTTACCCATATGAGAAGGGCATTCAGCGCTGCATTTCTTCATGAATAACAATACATACAGCTAAGAATGAAAAAAGCTCTGGATTTACACATATAATTGTAGTATAACAAGAAAAGAGATTTTTAGCTGATGATAAAAAAAACATTCTTATTCGAATAATATCAAAATTTATTTTTCACAATTAGAGATAAAAATGCATCTTGATAAAGATAAGACTTGACGGCGATATTTAGGATTTTAATTTCTTAAATATATATTCCAGAGGGAACATGCATGAAGAAAGATGTTAATTTACTAAAATGTGATCAATAATATTTACTTAATGTCATTATCATAATTGTCCAGTGGAAATATAATTATAATATTCTGTGGTATCATAATTTCAAAAATAAAATAATTATTTTAACTTTATTAAAAAACACGTTATTTTCCCACTTTCTTGCTATCATTAATTTTAGAAAAAAATGTCTGTTTTAATACAGTATTTTAACAACTTTACTAAAAACTAAATAATTTAAAATTAGTAGTAGCAGTCATAATAATAATTTAATGTAGTAGATAATTTTTATTCAATTTTAGAGAATATAGGTATACCTGTGAATATTATTCATATTTTGATAGATCATTTATTTAAAACATTTAAGGAATTTCAATAAACTTTTAATATAGGAATCATCAGGAATGTCAGGAAACAGATAAACAGAGGAATGAAATAGATAAGGAAACAATAATTAAAGAAATGATGAAAAATATTCTAAATTAAACATTGACAATCCAACATTCATTTTAATGCTAATATTAAGAAAATTATAAAATATAAAGTATATAGTCCGTGGTACAGACGTTTTTTGTCGAAATATTAACATCCGCCTGAAACTTCGTAAACAGTTTCACCTCATCGTAACCTACAACTATTTAAAATAGTTGTAATTAAAATTTACGAAAAC